CAGACCTAGAGGCCAAGTCATTGACGTTTTTGAGTGCATCTTCCACAGCCCATAGCATATCAAACTCACTTAACCTTGGAATTAGAAAGGATTGGGGGCAAAGTAGGAGCCCACAGTAACCAGGAAGCTGATAGTTCATCAACTCAATACCTATTTATTAAGCATCTGTAGAGTGTCAGGCACTGGGCTAGGCATTGTTTTCCAGGATATGGTAAGATAGAAATGTCATTCGAAGTCCATAAGAACATTTAGAAAAATTTACTTGTGTCCTAAAGAGAATACAGATTTCATTTATCAAAATTAATTAGATTAATGAAGTATGACATTTAAAGGCCTGATTGAATTGTTAATATCCCAAACATCCAACAGATTTTTCACTTGATTTCTAAATCAAAGTAAAAACATTATAAACCCCATTTCTTTCAGATGTTCAATTACTGTATGCGGACTTACTCGAGCTTTCTGAGATAGTGAGCAATGGTGGTTCAGTGGTAGACTTCTCACCTCCCATGCGGGAGACTTGGGTTCGATTTCTACCAGAGCGCCTCATGCACAGCCATCACCCTTTGGTCAATGGAGGTTTGAGTGTTGCTACAATGCTGAAGAGGTTTCAGTGGAGCTTCCAGACTAAGACAGGCTAGGAAGAAAGGCCTGAAGATCTACTTCCAAAAAGCAGCCAGTGAAAACCCTGTGGATCTCAATGGTCCGATCCACAGCCGAGCACGGGAATGGTACGCGACCATGCAGTGTTTCATTCTATTTTAATGTTCTTTAATTTCTACGTGAATTCCTTACCTCTGCCAACAACACATATTCATTCACAGACGTAATAGCTATCACATCTATCACCATCATCACATGACCTTCATTGCTTATCCTTACTGATGCTCCTTGTCCAAAGGGATGTTTCAAAAGATTGAAGGTTAGATGCCTAACTTCTGGTAGCATAAACTTTCTTAATTAGAGTCATCTAGAACAGTTTTCCTGATGGTCTGTGGTGGCTCCTGGATATCTCCTCGATCCTCCTGCTTTGCCCAACCTCAGTCCTTAATGTGGACATTTAAAGCTTTAAGCTCCTACGCTGGATTAGAAAAAGGATGATTGATTGGTCAGGTTGTCATTGTTGAAGAATTAGAAGGAATAAACCCCCTCATTTCTAGAGTGGAAAATGTTTATGGTTTAATCATGGCGGGCTCTTTTAGTGTCTAAGTTTGGTGGATGTTAGCAGCAGTGTTTAGGCTAGCTGGGGGAGAAAGTTGAGGAGTGGACTGGGGAGAGAGAAAGGAGTTACTCTGAGGAAGCTGCATTTGAAAAGAGAGAAGGAGTAGCATTTGGATTAAAAAATACCAGCATTCTGTTCAAACAACATCAACAAAACAAAATTTCCCAAAGCAACTCTTGATTTGCTCAATTCTTCTACTGATGTATTCATAGTAGGACAGGGCTGGTTTAAGAGACTTTTCTTTGTTGCTCATTTGGATGTGTAAATGCTCAATTCATTCATCAGCTGTTTCCCTGAGATTTTCCCAGGATCAGAAGTGCCTGTTCTTGTCATCTGGGGGCCAGCATTGTTTTCTCATACCTTTGGGAAACACAGCTGGATTGCAACTGTCTTTGTTCCTTCAGAAAATCAGCGCTATCCCATATAACTGTTTTCCTCTGGTCGCTGAAGGAGGGGTATAACCTGGAGGCTGAACCGGGAACCGAGATTTATTTCTATTCCTGGCTCTTTCCCTGATTTGCTGTGGGAAACCTAGTTAGTAATGCCCCAAGGTAGACAAAACTGATTCTGATGAAGATAAGCAGGTGCATTAAAAGTCATCAGAACAAGAAATCAGCTTTCTCTGGGGCTGTTCAGAAGACTTAGGGTACTTAATGATGGGTCTCAGTGCCTGGCGCTAGCTGCATCTGTGTCGGTGTGTGCACCTCTATACCTACCTGTTGCTCTGTTAACTCCGATAAACTATCTCCGGTTATGGTAACTCAGGTATCAGTGGAAAATCATGAATTATTTGGGATCATGTTGTGTTATCGGAAGTGTCTGGAGTTCCCAAATGGAACGGGGCTATGCAATGTGATTCTGTATGGCTGCTGCAAATGATATTCAAAACCATAGAGCCTCTGCATCGCCTTTTTTGGTGGCGGTGGGAAGGCTGTCAGTTTTACCTAGTAGAGGAGAGTCTATGAAGGGAAAGATGAAGCTTTGGTGGTTGGTGACATTGTGAGAAGAACAGAATAATCTGAGAGAGAAATATCGGGATGGACTCGACGGCAATGGGTTTTTCCACCCACCCACTGCTGTAGGGTAAACTGGAAGCTTGTGGAGGCACACGACTGGGTTCTACTTTGGGGGCACCGTCCCTGACTCCCAACAATATTTGGGACTGTGGGCGTCTGTTTTGGGGTCTCCAGAGGGCTGCCGTGGGCTTGGTCCTGATCAAGGGCAGCGACGCAAAGCTTCTGCTCACCAACGCCCCTGCGGTCATTTCTTAACTGCGGCCGTACAGGTGTATGACACGGGTGGGCTCCGAAACCCCGAAGGCTCCTCCAGAACCCCGGGCCCACTTCTGACTCACTCACCTCCGGAGTCCGGTCTTGGCAGAGCCCTTCGAGGACACTGGCTCCCGGAGCCCCGCACCTCGGCACGCACGCCCTGTGGTCCCCATGCCTCACGTCCTGTGTGTCATCAGTGTTTGTGAATGAATGATGTACACGCACTGGGAAAACTATGCCGCCACCGGAGGGCGGCGGGAGGGACTGACGAAGCCCGAAGGAATGCGTGGAGAATCGGACAGACTTTCCCGAAAGCGGCCGAGGCCGCGTCTCCGCGCCCCAGCCCCGCGCGCTCGGGGCCGTCCCCGCCCGGCCCACCGGCAGTG